GCATTGCGTTTGTGTACAGCGCTAGCGGAGATAAAGACCCGACACTGTTCATGTATAATTGCATACATGAATACATGAATGTATTCATTTCTATACAATGAATGTCACAAAGTAAGTTTATTGCACAATGCAATCTCTACTGATCAGGCGCATGCCCCGTATGGGTTCCTGGGTGCCCGGAACCCCCCTTTTTCGCTCAAAATGCAGGATTTTGCTGAATTTTTTGAAAATTTTCCCGGGGGAGGCCCCCCCCAACCCCCCTTGAAAGGCACCGGCGCACGCGCCTGCTGATTGGTAACAACTGGCCAAACTCTGTCAGTATTATCAGCTGGATGGGAAGCCACGCCTCTGCCACGCTTGTGGTCCAAACACAGGAGGCATGATGATTGCGTGACTTGCAGTCCAGCTTACATACGCATGTACATGTATGTGAGGTGATTACAATCATGACAAATAGAACAAATGATGCTGTTACCATGTAACAATCATGTTCCGTTTTTGTTTTTGGAACTCCGGCTGTGAAATACATGCGTGCGGCGGACGCGAAACATAGACAAAAAATGGTGTGGCCTTATGTACAATCATGCATATCTGCAATACATTTCTGTCATTTTTATATGCATATTGCATACTAAAATGTGAAGATCGGGTTTAGGAACAGATCGAATTATAGTGAAAAAAATTCTCCCGAAGGAGTGTCGCATACTTGCCAACCCAGTCAAAGCAAATCCCTTGGTCACGCACCCAGTTTCCCTTAACCCTTTAAGAGCCGCCCCATACTTGAATGCGTCGTAAACGACGCATTCAAATGCAAAACTTCAAAAGATCGTAACTCAGTCCAATCTCGCTCAAATCCATCGATCGAAATAGTCATATTTTCCCCGGTTTTCGCCAATTTCGGCCATTTTCTCTTTTTTGTGGCAATTTTTGATTAATTTTGGGCATTCTCCGCAATTTTGTGGCAATTTTGTTCTTTCTTTTTATTCATTTCTAACCCATTGCTCATTTGGGGACTAAAACCTGAGTTTCTTTATTGTCAGATCGCCCCCACATGTGTGATTCTGTGAAATGCAGGGCCGCATGTACCCTTGTCACACCACAAAACAACCTTTTTTTATGAACACTCATGGTTCAGTGCCAATACCGGTAGTTTTCGATCAAAGTCAAAAGCCTCGGTACGCCGGTAGTGACCGTAGTTTCCCGGTATAATACCGGGAAAACCGGTATGGTTGGCAAGTATGGTGAGTGGTTATATCCTGTCCTAGTAGATAGGCGTGTTCGACAATCATGGAACTCGGTGCACTACCGGAGGAGCAGTTTGCTTACAGACGCAATCACAGCTGTGAAGACCTTTTGTTGTATGCAATAAACGACTGGCAGTTGGCCTTGGACAAGAAGCAGCTGTGTGGAGCCATGTTTGTGGACATGAGCAAGGCCTTTGACCGCGTTCAGCATAGCAAGCTCGTGCAGGAACTGGCTTCAGTTGGCGTCGGAGGTGTGGTATTGCGTTGGTTCACAGACTACCTTACTGGGAGAACCCAGCAGGTCGTTGCCGGTGATGCCCGAGGCAGTACAGAGCCCTGCTCACGTGGTGTACCACAAGGCTCCGTGTTAGGTCCCTTACTTTTCTGCATTTATATCCGCCGTACCCCTCAGAAAATTTCAACATTGCCCTGCTCTCCTGTTTGCGGACGACATCGCGTTCTACGTCATTGGTCGCAAGGCTTCAACCGTGCTCAGAATGCTACAGACAGATTTCTTGAATCTGGAGGACTTCCTCAGCGAACGGGGACTGGTGCTAAATACCAAAAAGGTCTCGGCTCCTGCTGTTCAGACGACCTGCTGCGCACATGGACGTGATCCCCAGCATCACCTGCAAAGGCACTGTAATCCCCGAGTCCAGCCATGTTCTGTACCTTGGCCTCCTATTGGACTCGTCGCTCAGCTTCGAGCAGCAGGTGGCGCGTGTGTGCGCAAAGGCATAGTGCAAGGTTGCCTCATTCCGCCACGGGCGCCGCGATGTCTCCATGACCGGCCGCCGCATGTTGTACCTGACAATTGTCCAGAGTACATTGGACTATGCCAGCACATCTTATGTTCACTGCTTGTCTGCTAAACTCCGAGACAAACTTGAGTCAACCAGCAATAAGTGCCTAAGGCGAGTGTTTGGCCATGATCAGTATACTTCTATCGATTTCATTCTCACCAAATGTAACCTGTATACTTTCTCTCGCCGTGTAAACTTGAAGCTGTTTGTGTTTGTTTTTAGGTGTCTATCTCGTTGCACCAGTCCTCTTTTAAGCACGATATTTACCCCCCGCTCTGCATCATGCCGCACAAATGCTGCTACCCGCGGTCAAGCTTCAGCCGCTCTGAACCTACCCAGAGCTACGTCTCGTTATGGCCTGAATGCTATTTCATTTTTGGCAGCAGACAGATGGAACATGCTTCCACCTGGATGTCATCAAGCTAAGCCCCTTTCTGCATTTGTCACAAGCACCAAGTCATTCCTAGGGTTCCCAGTATAAAGGCAACGCCTGTTGAGAGTTCTCTAGTACTAAAAATAATAAATTCTACTACTACAGTCGTCCATCTCTAATCCGGCACCTTTTGCAACAGCATTTTCTGCTGGATAAACAAGGGTGCTGGATTATCAAATCCTGCACTCCAACCCGGGCCACATGTTAACATACGTGTTTGTGTCGTACGTCAAAACGTAGGGATTTTCTGGGTCAATCCAAGTACTTTGTGGAATGCATGTCTTTAACATACACTTGCCGGGAATATTCTATGCACTGGCATAGGATACTCCCAAGTGTATGTTACATGTGTTGTGTATGTTACAATGGTCCCTGACAGTATGCGATGTACAACTGCTGGATTAGAAAATCGTATTACGTACAGTTTGAGTGATTTTTTGCAGAAAATCGCTGCTTGAGGCGGAATTCAAGTGCTGGATTAAAGCGTAGAAAATGAATTGAAAGAATCAGTTTTGCCAGCGAGTGTGGTGGTTTGAAAGGGTGCTGGATAAACAGGTGCCGGATTAGAGAGGGACGACTGTACTACTACTACTACTTTGTCGCAAAACACCAAAATGATTGTGAACCTTGTGTCGATGTCGCAGCTCGACGCAGGTGTTGCCAGTCGCATGTCACGTCCCGTCGCAAAATGTTGTATTGTGAATCTGACTTGAAAAATAGAATTCGACGGGTTCGCGTACCGGGCAGGTCAAGAACAAGGAGTCGTACAACTCCCTGATCAAGAACCACCTTTCCGCTTCCGTGGGACGCCACCACCCCATGATCAGGCGTCAGATGCGGTTCCTAAACGGTGGAGGAGGATAGATCAGATCCACCAACCATAGGCCAAAGGCCTAAATCCCATTTGCCACATCCATGTTTTACTCATACCAGGCCACGAGTTCCCAATTAACTGTGGGTCGCAGCACGGTTGGAAAAAATCCTTCCGCTTCCAAGCAGGACTTGAACCTGGTACCTCTCGTTTCTCAATCATGGTCTTAGACCAACCCACTGTGCCTGCCTGAATCTGACTTTAAACTACAGTAAAACCTGTACAGTACTGTCGGGCGCCGAAGAACTGGGGGTCAGGGTTCTAGCCTAGCCCGTTCTTATTTTTAGCAAACACAGCAGTTTCGTTCATATTCGATGGTACAGTCTTACATGTACATTTATGCAGAGTTATACGTCTGAGCTGAGTGTACATTATAGACTAGTGTACATTACGGTTTCCGTTCTTATCTGCAAAAATTCCAGCCCACACCGTTCCTAAAAGTTGGTGAAATTCTAGCCTGGCCGTTCTTCGGCAGTCCGTTCTTCAGCGCCCGACAGTGCTGTAACTAAAGACCACCGTGACTAGCGACCAGCCTGGTACTACCGACCACTTTGCCAGGCACAGACAGTCTCACATTCAAAAACAATTAATGCACTGTGACCCGTAACTAGCGACCGCAATGTAGGTAACCAAAGGTTGTTCGAAGCTCCTTCTTTGAAATTTTGATGATTTTCTTTCCGTTGTCCTGAATGGACTCTTTCGATACTACAGCTGAACAAATGAACGCAGGCTCATTTTGACTGTGTCATAGTTTCAAGTACTGTCATGAGCAAACATTATAGTAATTGTCTTGGAGAGCATAGAATAGGCACTTCCCAAAAGCCGAAAACAGTGGTTTTGATGAAATCACCGATCTTTTCGGCGAATACGCAATTTTCGAGCTGAATTTGCCGATGTTTTGGTGCCTCAACCGAATGCAAATACAATTTCTGTAGCCATTATCTGCGAAAGGTGACTGGGACTTTAGCCATTTCCGAAAACGGTCAGCAGGAAAAGGGTTCCGAAATCAATGGCTGTCAAAAAATCGCCAATAATTGCACCGAATTTACAAATTTCGAGCTGAATTCGCCGAAAATGGATGTTCAGTGCCTCTACAGCGTGCAAGTAAATGTACATCTAGACCGTGAGAGGTGACTTCAAGTACCGCTTTGAGCCGAATTCTGACTTTGGCGCTCATGATATGGCCGAATTTGGACATTCTCTTAGCCGATTGAAAAGCCGATTAGGCGAAAAAATCGGGCCGATTTGGGAAATGCCTAGCATAGAACCTTCTCCCTGATTGATGCTCCTGCTCAAAGGAGAAATGCCATTGCGCGAGTGACGGGGAAATGTATCAGCTGCATTTTGACACACATAATGGGATCCATAATAATTATGGTCGCGCGGTGCAAACCTCTAACTAAAGGCCACCTGCCACTAAAGACTGCTTTTTCTGGCCCCAAGGGGTGGTCGTTAGTGATAGGTGTTACTGTATGTGCCCCATGAAGAGTCCAGTGTTTCAAGCCTCTTGTACGGGCAAAAACCATTTTTGTCAATGATAGAAATGCAACTAAAATCCAAAACAATTTTAAAATGTAAAGAACTCAAAGCAAATGAAAAAAACTCAAAGCAAATGAAGAGTGCCATCATTGAATTCGACGTTTTCTTACCTTGTGCGGCGGCAAAGTGAATTGCGCCAAACTCGTTCATGTCATATGCCGTCGGATGGTAGCGATCCAGGAGCCATTTGATAACCGCCATGTGGTTGTGGATGATGGCAATATGCAGGCAAGTCAGGCCCTTGTTGTTCGCCTTGTTTGCTGCCGTACTCGCTTTCTCCTTGTCGAACTCAATGAGCGTCTCCAGACAATCCAAGTGCCCATTGAGCGCCGCCTTGTGCGCTGGCGTTTCGCCAGTGGTGTTCTTGGTCTGGTAGTAAATGTCGCCATGTCGCAACAGCCAAGTAACGCACTCAAGCTGGCCTTCCTCGGCCGCAATGTGCAGAGCAGTGTCCCCTGAAGTGTCGTCCACGCTCTGGAAGATCGCCACTCCGCTACCGTCCAGCAGTCGCTCAAGACCGCTAATATCGCCGTCCCGGGCGGCCTGGTGCGCAGCAAACGACGCAGGTTTCGGCATGATTCAAATGTTGCTCGTCGCTCTCTTTCCCCGCACTTCACACCTTTGGTAGAGCACTTTGCATGCTCCGTAACAAGTGATGCCGCCGATCGCGTTCCGGGCGCCTTGAAAATTTGCACAAGCCTGGAAAGGCCACTCCGATACAAAGGAGCTTTTTTGATTCCGAAGAGGAAATCTGCAAAGGCAAGTCAAAGAGCTACCTTCATACTCTGCACGTCAGTTGCCAGCTAGTAACGTTGTCGTGTGTATCAGCCTACTCAAGAACACCAGATCGAATAAACGGGTGTGCCTGTTTACGACTCTGCATCCAGTCCGGGCAGCTCCGGATACTCATTTTCTCTAAACTACGATGTCAGTTGGTTATCAATACGAGTTTTAGCAACTCGTAAACGAGTAGATCTACGAGTCCGTGGTCAGGGAGCCTACACAGCTACCTGACTCGCCGCCGACAACGCGTCAAGGTTGGCTCCGCTTTGTCCTCATCGAAATCCATTCCAGCTGGAGTACCCCAGGGGCCTGTCCTGGGGCCTCTTCTTTTCCTGGTGTACACGATCGACCTCCCCCCAGCATGTACAAACTCGCACACCAAATGCAGCCAGTTCGCCGATGACACGGCACTCATCGCGACGCATTGCACGAGGGATTTATCAGCTGCATTCCTCCAACGTGCCGTGGACGCAGCAGGACGATGGTTGAAGGATTGGCATCTCCTCGTCAACACCACAAAAACCGTCGTCGTTTCCTTCCAACCCCAACACACCATCCACATTACGCTCCACTCGACTCGGCTGCAGCAGGTCCACCAACATAGGCACCTTGGTGTTACACTCCAAGACGATATGCGATGGACTCAACACATCATAGAAACTACCAACAAAGCCAAAAAACAACTACACGAACTCCACAAGACACGTGGCACAATGAACGCTTCCAGCCTATTATTAAAATATACACGACCTACATCCGACCTATTCTCGAAAATGGCAGCCTTGCCCTCGGCAACACCACACAGCAACAGCGGGACACACTGGAGAGATTTCAACGCCGTGCTATACGCATCTGCCTTCGGATTCCCCTCTTTGCACCAGTTCACCACAGTTCCCTCCTCCATCACGCAAAGCTTCCCACCCTTAGCTCACGACTCTTTGTTAAACAAGTCCTACTAGCATGGGACATCCACCGCCAAGCCTCCCCACCACACCTGCAACAACCACATCTTGCACCACAACGTCAACACCAAGCATACACCCTTCGACAGACAAGGACCTACTCCATCGAACACGCACACACAAACAGGCACCGAGATTCCCCCATCAACAGTGCCATCACCCTCTACAGCTCACTCCCTATCGACATCACAACCCAACATCGTAGAAATTATTTCCGAAACAAAGCATCCAGTCTTCTTTGAGCCCCGCACCCCCCTGGTTTCTGATGTCTCGAACGCGCACTCCCCTGGTTTCTGATATCTCGAACTTGTAATTAACTACCTCGATCACCCCTGCTAACGTTTTTGCCCCCACTTGTTTTTCATGATCAATTGCTCCTTGCCTCCCCGGGTAATTTATTTCCATCTAGCTGCTTCTGACTAGTATCAGTTCTATCACACTTAAGGGGGTTCGGGACAGTTAGGCCCAAAAAATTAATTTCAACATCAGCCCAATCTGACATCAGGTTTGAATAGGTACAGCCTTATATTTTCGCTTAGTAACATCAGTTTTTCAATTGCCTGAATAGGTCTTGCCAAAAACACAATTTTCCTTGATAACACAAAATATCACAAAATCCGAAAATTGATGAGAAATCGTCCATAACACCAGATAGGACAGAAAATATGACATAAAATTACACAGACTGTTCGAGGTATTGACTAAGATGATATCAACACCGAAAAATGTACACTTTGGTTGACGATGGGATCCAGGTCGTCATTTCCTGGAGAAGAACAAAAAGACGCAAAAAATGAAACTTTGAATTTTTTTGCAGCTTATTTTTGAGTTTGCCCCATATGTGGATACTTCAAATACGCACATACGCATGCGCAGTGCTGGAGTCTACTGCTAAAACGCAACAATGCATGGCATACATAAAACAAAAGGCAATGAAACATGAGCTATGCTAGACAGAGAGGTGTACTACATTCATACTCATAGGACTATGGAGTATGGTTCGGCCTATGGCTATGCGCAACACATGCGTTCAATGGTGACATCAATACAGAGACCGCAATCTCGCACACTCCCCCCGTTGACTAGCAGAAACAAGTAACCTATGCCACCGCATATTCATAAGATAACAATGGGATAAGTGTATCACAAAACCAATTATGCATATTCATGACCGATCTTGCTAGTCAACAGCTAAGATAGAGATAATGCTTTCCTCCAATTTCTACTGTTCTGATGATAACACAAACTGCGAACGTTCTGCAGTACTGTTGGATTACACAGTCTCGCCCTTGAGCTTATGAACCTACTCATATCGCAAGACAGTTTCTTAAACAAGTCCGGCCTCCATCAGCCGCTCGACTTTGCTGTTAGCCGCTCTAGCTGCTGCTCTCGACGGTCTAGTTGGCTGCTGTCCTGACTCATCAGGACCATCTGGTTTCTCTTCTTCATCATCATGGGCGTCACTGCAGCTCAACTCCAGCGGGTACAGATGTTGCACAGCTCTCTGAAGCACGACTGCTTTACCCTGGCTGTTGATGTTGCGTATGCTCGCTCCTCTGATCTTTCCATCTCCGCCTTCGTGCAGCTTCTCAACAACTCCGGTCTTCCAAGACCCACGAGGCTGATCTTTGTCATAGATAACGACAACATCGCCCTGGCTGATTGCACTCGGATTGTCGGAGAACTTGGTGTTCTTAGCGGTCGCTGCTATCAGCTCCAGGACGTACTCCTTGGACCAGCGGTTCCAGAAGTGGTCCGTGACCTGCCGTAGATACTGCATTCTCTTCTGGAGACTTCCTACGGTCGACTCTGGTAGACTGAAGTCGGGATCATCCAGATCTTCGGCTGGCTCTTCTGCCATCTGCGTCAGTCATCTGCCATGGAGGAGATGCGATGGCGTGATCGGTGCGTCCATATCATCCCTCGTCATGCCAACGTACCCGAGCGGTCTAGCATTGATGACCATCTCCGCTTCTGTCACGATCGTGCTGAGCTCATCTCGGGATAGCTTCGCTCCACCCACCACCTTCCTGAGGCAACGCTTCACACTCCGGATTAGCCTCTCGAATACTCCACCCCACCAGGGAGCTCTGGGCAGGTTAAATGACCACTGGATGGTCTGCTGGCCAATTCGCGTCAGATATCTGCTGGCCGCCTTGAACGTCTGGGCGTTATCAAACACGATGTACGCCGGCACACCTCTCCTGGCTGTGAATCTCCTCATTGCCCGGAGGAACGCATCCGTAGACAGACTGTCCACGAGTTCGAGATGGACAGCTCGGGTCACACAGCAGGTGAATAGCAGAGTCCACACCTTCTCTGAGCCGTCTACGAACAGTGGACCGGCGTTGTCCAGACCGACACTCTGGAAGGCAGGCGCTTGCTGTATACGAATGGTGGAAGAGGCGGCGCGAGTGGGCCGCGCAGTGGTTTGCCTTCGTGTCTTCGGCAGACTACACAGCGGTGGATGAGCTTCTTCACGACTTGCCGTCCGCGGACGACCCAGAACTTCTCTCGCAACTCTGCTAGGGTTGCCTTGCTCCCCCCATGCATCATGCGCTGGTGGCAATCCAAGATGATGAGGTCGGTGATGTGGTGCTCAGTAGGCAGCAGGATTGGGTGTTTTGTACCCTCGCTAATCAGCGCATTCTCGAGTCTGCCTCCACATCGCAGCGTCCCGTTGTCTTCTCGTACGTCTAGCTGCTTCGCTGCTGCCGTCAGCTTGGGGTCTGCCTTGATCGACTTCTGAGCCGCTTGGATCCACAGCTCTTCTGATCGTCGCAGATGTGCCGCAGTGGGCGCCTTCGACCTCGATCGGCGTTTCATTCGATCGACTGCCAGCAACACCGTGGCCGTTACACGCACAAGTTGGGTGTAGGTGCCGTCTGCCACACAATCCATGACATTACCGATGTCTTCTGCTGGGCTGTTGACGGTTGCAGCTGACACTGTGACTGGCTTCGGCACTTGTTCCTTCTTCGTACCATTCTCTTCCCTCAAGCAGTTGGCCGGAGGAGATGTCGTCAGCATATACCCCTCACTACCGTCGAGATGAGTGCAACTGGGCTGCTCAACCAGCGTTCATCTGCCATGAGTCGTGCGCCTGATGCACCTCTAGAGGCAATGTCGGCTGGGTTCTCTTCGGTGGGACAATAGCGCCACTTAGCATCTGGCACGCGCTTGTGGATTTCTCCAACGCGGTTGCCAACGAACTGCTTCCATTCCTTGTGCCCAGGATTGGTGATCCAGTACAGCGCCACGTGCGAGTCGCTCCAGCACACCATTTCATTAACCTCCAACTCACCCTCCAGGGCTGCGCGAACGGTGGAGATCAGTCGGCTGAGGATGACTGTAGCGGTTGCTACTTAGAGTAGTTTCGCCTGAATCTTTATTGCAGAAGGGGGAACATTATCGGACACGGAAAAGCACAACTAACTACAAGGAGAGCAGAAATGAAGAGTGATTCCAATCGGGAATCACTGTGTAAAGAAGACAGAGAGCGGAATGGACGGCGGTGCTGCGTGCACACAGCAGCGACCGGAAGCAGCGTGCCCAGTACGGGATGCCATGTATAGATGGAGCCCGAGGGCAGTGCACTCAGACATGAATACGCACGCGCACCCGAGTACTGCATTCAGTCCATGCGGGGACTGTGCCATAGAAGGGGAAGGGTTAGTGATGCGCAGCCAGCAAGTGCAGCGGGACATGAATGCATGAGTCAATGGTACAGCATGCAGGCTGCGGTTCTTATACAAGTACACACGTTAGATCAATGCGAGTGAGTGGAGTAGGAAGGAGAAACCTGGAGACAGACAATGATATGCCTAGGGATAGAGTTCTGTCATGATGCTACTTATTACACTACAATGACTGCTGCGAGGAGTTCCAGTCTTGGTGTGCTGAGCTCCTTCAGTGGTGCCACACGAGTTTTCGCTGTTACGAAGCGTGCTCGTGTCTCGTCACCGGTACCATTCACGAGATACACGACAGCGGCGTACGCCTTGTTCGAGGCGTCGCAGAAGCCATGTAGGGACCAGGTTGTCGTCGTGTCGACACAGAAGCAGCGAGGTACCGACAGCTTGCAATTGGCTAAGTCTTCAACGATGGCGCTCCACTCGATGACTCTGTGTTCTGGCAGCGCCTCATCCCAGTCGTAGCCGTCCTTGCAAAGTTGCTGGAAGAAATTCTTCAGTCGAAGGACAACTGGCGAGAGGATACCCAGCGGGTCGAAGCATGTTGCTGATGTCTGTACCACCTTACGCTTCGTGACCTTCTCACCCCGGCCTGCTGCTGCTGCATTGCTCAGGTCAAACTCCAGGGTGTTGCTGCCGTACTTCCACCGAACACCTAACAGACGGTGTTCTTGTTCGTCGGGAACGTCGCCGCTGGTTGGTGCTGGCTTGAGGATGGAAGAGTCGACGTTCTCAATGCTCTTTGTCAGCTCCGGTGAGCTAGTGACGAGCTTCCGGAGGTTGAAGCCGCCTCGGCCGAGCCATCAATCCGAGTAGGTAAACTTGTCGATGTCTGTTATCTTCGGGTTGTTGTGGACCGATGTTGAGTATGTGTCCCAGAATGTGGTACACTCTGCTATGTCCCCACTGAAGGTCTTCAGTTGCAACTTTGGCAGTTGCAGATTGAAGGCAGCTGGCTCACTACTGCTGGTGCTGGCTTCATCAGTCACTGTGGCTGGTGCAGTACTTAGTGCAGCCACATTCGGTTCAGGTTCAGGTGCCTGTGCATGTGCAGGGCTGGCACTACGTTGTTGCAGTACAATACTAGCATCAAGACCTGGTCTTGGTTCATGCCTGTCAGCTGGCAACTGCAACTGTACCTCTAGCTGTGGAGTGGCATAACCCTCCAGCGTTGTCATTGATCTGTGACTGCTATCCGATTCTTGCTGACGTGCAGCAGCGTAGTCAGGACTAGCAGTTACAGCTTGTGCAAGTGTGCGTGACTTGGTGGTGGTACTGCTAGCGCTGGGTGTGGACGCCAACACAGGACTCATCACAACGGAAGCAGGTGCTGCTCTAATACGACTACCACTAGAATTATGCGCTTCTTCTACCTCCACAGGTCTCAACTTCGCAATGCACAACAAAATCTCAGACTGGAGGCGATCAGCATCTTCAATCTCCTTCTCAATCTCATCCTCCTCACCCATTCCGTTCAAAATCACATCATCAAGCTCCCTCAAACGGGTTACCTTTTCCTCCAAAGACACCCTGACGTGCTGTGTCTCCACAAAGTCCAAGGTGTCACCAGCGAGGAGTTCTGCTCCTCGTTTGAGCAGACGTGCGGTGGCTCCTCTCTGCCCACCAAGTGTTCTTTTCTCCTTTCGGAGATCGTTGGCTACAGCGCCGGCGTCCCGGCCACCGTTCGTACTATCATCCATAATGGGATGTCAACTAGAATCGAGCGCTCTGCCGGCCGGACAGAATTTTGCTCTTCAAGAGTTCGAGGTTCAATTCGTTCTGTAGGCTGATTCACCTATCCGGCTCGAAGGACCATATTCTTACTTCAATAATCAGCAAGAGGTTCGGTTCATATCGTTATAATATTACTTTGAACTACGTTCTTTGCTCACCATGATCACAGCTGTTACTTCTTCTACAAAGCAATCTAACACCACTAACTAATTAGGACTAGCTCGACTGATAACAAGAGCTGGGGAGAGAGAGGAAGCGAAAAGACTAAAATGCAAATGTTACAGATCACTGCGCATGCGCAGTGCTGGAGTCTACTGCTAAAACGCAACAATGCATGGCATACATAAAAACAAAGGCAATGAAACATGAGCTATGCTAAACAGAGAGGTGTACTACATTCATAGGACTATGGTCTATGGTCTATGGAGTATGGTTCGCCCTATGGCTATGCGCAACACATGCGTTCAATGGTGACATCAATACAGAGACCGCAATCTCGCACAGGAGTACAGTTTTGTAGTTAGGCTTCCGGTGTCCCGTCACTTCGGAGCGTGACATCTCGTCGCGCGACATTTCGAAGCGGTCATTTCGAAGACAGTCAGTTAGGAACGGGGACACTTCGAAGTGTGTCAAATTCGGCGCCAGACGATTCGACGAGAACCAGTTCGGAGAATGGCCACGACATCGCCTGTTCATTTCGTCGGAAAAAGGACATAAGGATACGAGTTAAGAGTAACTCTCCATCACTGTAACTGGATACTATAATTATACAGTCAGAAAGTGCAATAACTAGGCACACAACTGACAAGAGTACTGAGACATTCGACGTCCTGACACCTAGCTACAAACACATCTCCGTAGCGCTAACCGACAGCCTTCCAACTTGGAAGGTTCAAGGTTATGGAAAGACCAAAGAGGGGAAGGCAAGCGCAACGAAAACGAGCAAAATAATTGTAGAAAGGAAAAGGACATATGGAAACGAGTCAAGAGTAACTCTCCACCACTGTAACTAGATACTATATACAGTCAGAAAGTGCGACAACTAGGCACAAAACTGACAAAGTACTGAGATATTCGACGTCCTGACACCTAGCTTCAACACATCTCCGTCGGTTAGCGCTACGGAGATGTCCGAACTTCCCGGGTCCCAGTTGACGTGCGATGAATTGTCGTGGCAGCGAAGTGACGGGTTTCGAAATGTGTCCGCGACGAGACGGTTCTCGACGATATGACCTCTTCGAACTGACGCTCGTCGAAATGTCCCGCTCCTAAGTGACGTAGAACCTCCTCTTAGGCGTTCTTCGGGTCGTATTTACCACTGGAGCTACTGTATCTAGGGCTGCATTGACCTTCCCCGTCCACTCAGCAACCATCGCGTCAACATCATAAGTAGTGAAGGTGTTAATGGAATTGAATTGGAGGGCTGCACAGAATAGATTTTCATCGAAATTTCTGAAGTTGCGACTAGCAACGTTCCGAGTTGTTGCATGGTCTGAGTTGGTGTCGATGGCTACGGGGAGGAAAGTCGTTATGAGGCAGTGGTCAGAGTGTTCGCATGCGTGGGTAGTAGCAGGCGCAACAGCTGTGATATTAGTCAGCATGCAATCGATCGATGAACTTGATCGGACGGTAACTCGTGTTGCATCTCCAACGACATTTGTGAAGTTGAAGGGCAGTAATATCTTGCCCTGAAGATGGTGGAACTGAAGTTTGGTCTGATCCAAGAAGTCGGTGTTCAAGTCCCCTACAAGCATTACTTGTTCTGCATCAGCTTGGTCAATAGTTTCGGCAAGCAGAT